AAAGAGCACACCGATATTTATTGAGTAGGGTGCTGGTTGGTCTGCAGAGCTGATCTGGATGTGGTAGGAAGGAGAAACAGTCTGCTTAGATCAGAAATTGAACCCTGGCTGCCCAGCCTCCATTTGGTCACTTTGCAAACCGAACTACCCCACTCATAGAACTGTCTTTCAAGTGTTAGAGAAGAGTTTTTTTTAGAAAAATGTATGAATATCAGTTTAGAGATCAACCACCAGTGAAGTATACAATACAAATAATGTATTTCCTTGGTTTTAAGATGTATGTTCTTTCACATTTTAAGAGAGTTCTTCATGTCCATAACATTTGTTGAAGAACAGTAAGTACAAAGGTAGCAATAAAGAAGATTCTGAAAGTATTAATACAAAGAAGTTTTTGAATGTTGGCAATTCCTATTGTAATAAACATATTTCTTCCTGTTACTAAATCAGGGTACATCATGCAATTCATGGTGTCTTAAAATCAGTTAAAAAGGGTAATATGGAGGGGCATGAGGTGAAGTTAATGATGGCTCTGTGGGACAGCTGACAGTCATTTACAATCTTCAAAGAACTTCAATGCTATATTCTCGGAGAATTGTAAGTAAATACAGTAACTTTTTCTGGTACATTAGGCCATTCTATCATGTCAGAAACGTGTGTTTCAAAATGCAGTGCTTTCAGTAAGACAGCCCCGATGCAGCCAAGGCAACCCTGTAAATACTACTAGAGTCTTTCCTAGGTCTTCATACACCTAGGTGCCAAATTTTTCTCTTCAGTACTGAGAAATTACAGGATCAACAGGAAGGTTACATACTGGCACTTTGCAGTGCATAACATACTATTTGAAGTGTTTGGAAGTGTTACTCAATGATATGTAGTGTGACAATTCTCACCTGTAGATACTGTTTTATAGCATGTGAAAAATTATTAAAAGCTTTTTTTATAATTCAGGCTACTTTGTTTTTCACCATGCTATATACAGTATGTAAAATATTTAACAAGTATAATGCAACTCAATTGCCTGACATACCAAGAAATCCCAAGAAGCTTTTAGCAATGAAATTATGAGGTGTTCCTTCCGTACATGTCTTGCTACAGAAATGTTGTAAACGACTGTCTGGTGGAAGTGTAAACATCCGTCTCAAATAATAACGAATATTTAAACAGCATCTGTAAACAGTAGAAAGTTTTTTTCAATTAGAACTTACACAACTCTGATGTGAGCTACTACTACTAAGGCAATCCCACATAGTGATGAGTTTTTCTGTAAATCAACCAGCAGCATACAATTGGAGGTTATAAGAATGTTGTAGATCATTCAGTGTTATAAGAGGGCAGGTTTTTCATGCTCATTTATGGATGGAATTTCTTTAAATTCAATCACAGGCGCGCACACACACACACACACACATATATATTAATTATGCTATTGTATTTAATCCTTTTTAATTTCTGTGGGCAGATTTCTGTTTGCAGACCAGGTACTCATAGCTAAATCAGAATCAGATTTACAATCGGTAAGGAGCAAAATCTGTATTAATAATAAAACCCTAGAACAAGTTAATACTTTGAATTATTTTGGATATCGCCTGTCCTATGAAGAAGAAAAAGATCTGAATGTGAAAATCACAGAAACTTTTTCAAAATAACATGTAGCATCAAAATATACCAGAATTAAAATTAATAAGATTCATGCTAGACTAACTTTCACTTATGGTAGTGAATCATGGACTATCCAAAATAATGATAGAAAAAGATTGATATCAGCAGAAATGTATTTCATAAGAACTTTGGTTTACACACTTTTTGATCACAAAAGAAATTAAGAACTTGTGGACATTACGGTAAAGCAACTAAACATTACACCAATAATATATTTTATAACAGTACCACAATAAACTGGAAAGAACATGTACACAGAATGATTTCAGGCAGGATACCAAAAATGATTTAGGATACCACACAAAAGGAAAGAGATGTTTGGGCCAACCCATTAGAAGATGGAAGGATTCAGTTATGTAATGTCTGTAACAGCCCATAAGGCCTATACTGGAAAGGAAGAAGAATTTCTGTGGGCATATAACTATTAGGTGCTATACAAGAAAATGTACAACTTACACATATAACCAACCAAATTAAATAAATGTTTTATACATGTAACATAATAAGTAAAACAACAATTATATTAAAATATCTTAGTTCTTTCTCATGTATCTATGTTAATATGCCTTTATGATTTTTCTATTTGTCTTTCTGTTAATTGTTGTGTATTCTTAGGTTTCAGAGTTGGGTAGTGAATCCTGATATGACTTTTATCTGCATTTATTTTGTCTTAATTATTTGAAAATTATGTAAAACTCAATTTCATACATAATACAATGTCTATGATCAGAAGTTATATAAATGGACGTGTATTTTAACTTTTTCCAGTACGCTATGAAACAACCTCAGAAAGTATATTTCATATTAGAATACACATAATATCCTCATGCTTTTTTTTGCAACATGCATTTGGAGGTATTACATCTGCCTTGTCATATGAAATAAATTTACAAATTTTCGAAATGTCTAAGTACCCATAATTTTAAAATTTTTGGATTTTAAAAATTCAGATTTAAAGATTCCGTATTTTACAAATCCAAAACACCAACATTTAAAATTTATATTTAAAAACCTAACCTAACCCACATTATTTGAATGAATAAAAATATGCTATACATACCGTGACCACCAATGATGATATTTATCTGATGTCGTATATACTGGTAGAAGACCATTTTGTATCCTTATTGCATTGTCTTTTTCGTGTTTATATCTCTTTAACTTCCTACTGGTTCCATATGCTTTGTAAAAACGCATGCAGAATGCCATTTTTAATTTTTATAACATTAATTACAATAACTGCATGATAACAAACTTCACTGCTCAGGCTTATAGTATCAGTCTTCAGTTACCATAATTAAGAGAAGATTGTTATTTTAGTTTGTTGACAGCAATCAACAATGCTTATGATCAGAGCTGTTACCATTGTTATAAGAAGACTGTTTATTTACAAAAATCATTTTTCCTTTTGTTATAATTGAAAGGACCAGTAATATGATCTACATAGTCACAAATTAATAATTTCACATTCATAATATAATTAATTTTAGGCACTTTATCCCCATCTTGGTTATGTCTCAATTAGCTAGTAAACTAACCTATATTATGATTCCATGAATTGTGTACATTTTCTAAAGTAAGAAATCATTGTTGTTCATTAGCTCCCGAGTAATGTGTAGGAACAAAGAATATTGTGTACACAAATAATATGGCAGTATTGTGTAAATATTTGACCCAGTTACCTATGGTTTTATTGTCCTGCCTGCTCACTCTGCATCAGATTAGTAGTCCACTGTGTAATTCATTCAATAAATAGGAACTATAGGACTGAAAAGAGACACGAATACCACTGAGTAAAGATTTTAGCAGTGGCAGAGTTAAAAGAAATCTAGTTCACTACAGACTGCAAATTCAGTGATTGATTCTTCAAAACATTTGTTTGGAAGTAGGTATAAGAACCTGTCACAGTCACAGGAATTTATTGTAAATCCATGTGTGAAACACTTCAGGCCTATCTCCATATTCCAAGTTATAAGCTCTAATAATTCTTATGAACTTTGTGGTGTAGCAAATGAATTTCTCACAATACAGGCTTCAGAACATCTTGAATCTGTTAACTGCTCAACAAAATTTACTCACTAGTCTCATATTTTTCTTCATATAAATAGTGTTTGCAGCTATAACATTACTTGATGACTCAGAGAATTTAAGTGTCCTTTCTTGTGATGACCATGTTAAGTGGGTCCATTGTCACCACAGCAGTCTCAGTCAGCTGACAAGGTGTGGTGCTCCAATTTTGGGGTTGGGTTTGGGGCTAATAACTTTCCATCATAAAAGAACATTATGTTGCATTATTTTATGTTGGCATAGTGAGGTGGTCCATAGTTTATACACATGGTGAAATATTACTGGAGTGACCAAATCAAATAGGATGAGATTGGCAGGTATGTAGCACATGTAAGGGAAACATGAAATATGCATAGAATTTTGGTTGGAAACCTTGAAGAGAAAGTGCCACTTGAGAGACCTTGTATAGATGGGAAGATATTAAAATGGGTCTTTTTGTATTGGTGTTGGGGGGGGGGGGGGGGGGGGGGAATTCATCTGGGCTGAACATGCTGAATAAGCTATAGAAGGTGGTGGTTTCTCTTTCATTCTGTGCCAAAACAGTGCATTCAAATATTTCCTGGCGGAAGTCTTCGAAAACAAATCATGATTGTTTTTTCCATTTTAATCGGCGCTATAAAATGTTGTTTAACCAGTGTCAAAAGATTTATGATTTGGAACGACTCGGGTGTCATTTTATGTCTCTGCTCTGTTCACATAGTTTTCTTTACGTTTGTTATAATGGAGCGTAAATAAAATCAAGATGCCAATATCATATCACGTATAGCACTTAAATCGCACAAGCATTTTGATATTCTGTGAATATTAGTATGACCTGTGAAATACTAAATGCCATTTGTTTTACTGCCGCTAGGTTCGCTTTCAAAGATTTCAGAAAGCAAGAGGTGTGATGTAGATTTGAGTAGATTATAATATCATTGTCGTGGTATTGGTGTTGAAATTGATAACGCAAGAAAATATTGCAAATATTATAATATACATACAGTGGATGTGAGGTTAGTGATATATTCACGCGTTTAACCTGCAATTATCTTAAATTCTGTAGGATGTGTTACGTCTTTACTTTCGCACGATCACAGTACTTGAAACAGCTGCGAAAAAGAGACGTTGACTGTTGTCGGGTCATCAGTAAGTAGCCGGTTGTATGATGGTTAACAGAGAGGGAAGATTACTTTTAACCTAAATCGTGATATGTGTGTTGAATTGTGTTTGTATTTCTGTAAGACGTGAATCTTTAAAATTGGTTTGTAACTGTGAAGCTTCGCGTGTATCGAATCTGTGTGCAATATGTAGGTGTACATTTTTCGGCATTGGCCCACGCACTCTTTGACAAGTGGGTACGCATACATGAAGATATTTCTGAATTAAAATAAAGTAATGTCTACAAGGGAGTTATATACAAAGGTAAGAGCAATTGAATTGTGTTATGAATATTGTAACGTAGAGGATGCAAATTTACACTTTCCTTCAGCATGTGCATAGATATATCGGTTACGAGTTTAGAAAGACTGGTATGAAAATTTGACAGCTGATGTTTTTCAAGTTACCCTTAAATCTATGAAGTAGGAATACTTTTTCAGGTGCTGATAGCTCAATTGAGCGTTGTTTATTTGGAGTAATTTATTTAGGATAGCCATCTTCGGATTTGTTGCATTATGATTTTGAATCGGAGGCTTTGCAGAACAAGAAACATCCTTGGTTTCGTATTTGTTATGGTACTTGGACATATATTTCATTATTTTATGTATAGGAATTATGTGGAGTCAGACAAATCTGCTTTGAAATGTCATGACTTGATTTCATGGTGTAATACCTTTTAATGTGCTTTTACTTCAATTACCTTGCCTGTATATTTGTATTATGAACGAAAGTTTCAAGTAATATTCTGCTGTAGTTTGTATATATGCGTACATTAATACAAGTTATTGGCTTATATGAAACCAATAATTTCCTTGCATAACTTCATTACGGTAGAGATTTATGTTGTAAATATGATGAAGTGATATAATTAAATATGTGATGTTCAAGATTATTTTTGTATGAATGGAAGATTGGATAAACTTTCAGTGTTGGACCATAATCGTAATATGGCCTTTTGTTTTGGGCTGTGATAGATATCCAGTTGTACTTGCGTTTAGAGAATATCGAGTGGGATGTTGATTATGGTGTACTGTATGTTGTGATTGGCATCTTTACTGCTATGAAGTTTAATTTCTAATGATGGGTTGGGTTTTCTTTGTGTTTATGATTTTGATTGAGCACATTAGTACTGTAATAAAGCATGTAACATTTTGAATGCTCCTGGTTTAGTTTTTGTTTATAGGACTGACTATCCTGGAGGTTTTTTACAATTCCTTACAAGGGAAGCACCTAACAAATTTATATTATTGTTGACACATAACTCATTACTCTTGGACTACAGACAGTTCAAATTGGTCTTTACTACTCTGTCCTTACCCCTCTCCTTTACCCTAATCACTTGACCCTTTCTGACCATCATAAAATATTACATGTCTAGGAATTTTAGAATGTAAAACTACTTGGTGGCCATATGAATCTGTATTTAGCATTCAATTTGATGGTGATAACTAATGAACCATTGGAGCCAGTATGTGAAATTTTGTGTGGTGGTAGACACAAACATGTACAAATTCTGTATGGAAAATTTTTTCAATGTGTTGGCAACTGCTAATATGGCAGTGATGCAGTGAAAACTTGAGATGTATTGTGAAGTTTATCATAGAATCTGTTCTAGTGGAAATTATGTAATGAAAAGAATACTGAGTTAGGTAATAATTAATTTAACAGTTGATGGATTTCATATAAAATACAGATCAGAAGTTATTCCAAGAACTTCCAGTTTTCCTGACTTTTAATATTCTACTTTAGGTATTGTTTGCACTTATACTCTATGTGTGTTTAAATGGTTTGCATTTATGTTTCATTTCAATTTTGTGTTTTGTTCTTTGTGGTTTGTTTAATGATGCTTCAGTAGCTGATACTGTGTTGTGTGAAATTATAGAATTGTTAATTAATAATGAATTGAAAGGGATATGGAAGGAGGCAGTTATACCCAAATTTAAAGTACAATCCAGGGTTTTGCCTGAAGATGCTGAGGAAAACCACATGGCTGTAATGCTTGTTTTACAGTGCTTATCTATTTATCATCTATCTTCAAGCACTGTACTTGGTTAATTGTTTTTATTTTTATATTATTATTATTATTGTTGTTAGGAAATGTCAGTCAGTAAAGTTATTTGATAAGGACAGTGACAGGTATTTTCTCTAAAGCTGGGGTTCTCAGGTAGTTTGTATATATGCGTACATTAATACAAGTTATTGGCTTATATGAAACCAATAATTTCCTTGCATAACTTCATTACGGTAGAGATTTATGTTGTAAATATGATGAAGTGATATAATTAAATATGTGATGTTCAAGATTATTTTTGTATGAATGGAAGATTGGATAAACTTTCAGTGTTGGACCATAATCGTAATATGGCCTTTTGTTTTGGGCTGTGATAGATATCCAGTTGTACTTGCGTTTAGAGAATATCGAGTGGGATGTTGATTATGGTGTACTGTATGTTGTGATTGGCATCTTTACTGCTATGAAGTTTAATTTCTAATGATGGGTTGGGTTTTCTTTGTGTTTATGATTTTGATTGAGCACATTAGTACTGTAATAAAGCATGTAACATTTTGAATGCTCCTGGTTTAGTTTTTGTTTATAGGACTGACTATCCTGGAGGTTTTTTACAATTCCTTACAAGGGAAGCACCTAACAAATTTATATTATTGTTGACACATAACTCATTACTCTTGGACTACAGACAGTTCAAATTGGTCTTTACTACTCTGTCCTTACCCCTCTCCTTTACCCTAATCACTTGACCCTTTCTGACCATCATAAAATATTACATGTCTAGGAATTTTAGAATGTAAAACTACTTGGTGGCCATATGAATCTGTATTTAGCATTCAATTTGATGGTGATAACTAATGAACCATTGGAGCCAGTATGTGAAATTTTGTGTGGTGGTAGACACAAACATGTACAAATTCTGTATGGAAAATTTTTTCAATGTGTTGGCAACTGCTAATATGGCAGTGATGCAGTGAAAACTTGAGATGTATTGTGAAGTTTATCATAGAATCTGTTCTAGTGGAAATTATGTAATGAAAAGAATACTGAGTTAGGTAATAATTAATTTAACAGTTGATGGATTTCATATAAAATACAGATCAGAAGTTATTCCAAGAACTTCCAGTTTTCCTGACTTTTAATATTCTACTTTAGGTATTGTTTGCACTTATACTCTATGTGTGTTTAAATGGTTTGCATTTATGTTTCATTTCAATTTTGTGTTTTGTTCTTTGTGGTTTGTTTAATGATGCTTCAGTAGCTGATACTGTGTTGTGTGAAATTATAGAATTGTTAATTAATAATGAATTGAAAGGGATATGGAAGGAGGCAGTTATACCCAAATTTAAAGTACAATCCAGGGTTTTGCCTGAAGATGCTGAGGAAAACCACATGGCTGTAATGCTTGTTTTACAGTGCTTATCTATTTATCATCTATCTTCAAGCACTGTACTTGGTTAATTGTTTTTATTTTTATATTATTATTATTATTGTTGTTAGGAAATGTCAGTCAGTAAAGTTATTTGATAAGGACAGTGACAGGTATTTTCTCTAAAGCTGGGGTTCTCAGCCTTTTTCGTTGGCGTACCACTAATTTTAATTTAACACATCAAATGTACCACTAATCAAATGCGTTCAGGGAAAACTGTTATCTATGTTAATATTAACTTTTGATTTTCTTACTTAGTCCGCATACCACTCAACATTGGATCGCATACCGCCAGTGGTACGCGTACCATAGGTTGAGAAACGCTGCTCTAAAGGATAGCATTCATGAATACCCAGATTGACTTTAGTGCCCATCCCACCAAGGCTCCTATTCAGTATGTTATATGACTTCTTTCTTTCTCCAGGAGGAAAGCTATCAGAATGTGAGGCTGTGCACTCATCTCAGTTTAGTTCTGAGGCATAGAAAGTATGGAACTTTGGCTGCATATCCATACAATATTTTGTGCCACAGTGCTTAGGCAAAAGGGCAACATTACCTTTATTACTATTCTTCTTCTTCTTTTGTAATCAGTCCTAGGATTGGTTGGCAGCAGCTTGAGCTGCTGATACTTGGGAAATCCTGAGGATCTTTAATGGGGTGGATGCTGTTGACCAATCCGGGTTTATCCGCCTTTAGGGGTGATTTCTCACCCCAAGGGCATGAGGGTGCCCTGAATCTCCACCCTCCGAGGAGGCTGTTGGCACCTGGTAGAGGGGGACCACTTATACCGGTGGTCACTCGGTCTGTGGATGCAGTTTAACGTCATGCTTCATTAATTTTGTTGTGTCCGTTTTGCTCACTACTTCCTCATTATTTCATTATATTGATCCTGATTAGTGAAAGCATTTCATTTAAGTCATTTTATAAATTAGTGTATCTCAGTCTTGATTTGTTGATACAGGTAATTAGAAATGTCTGATCTTTTTATGCCATTATTTGTTACACTCAGTTTTGTTTATTGTGACACCAAAGTTTTTATTTTCAATGTAACACAAGAAGTGATGGTAGCCTTGTTCTGCATCTTCTCCACTCCTTTCTTAACAGTCTGTGAGTTCTGCTGCTATGGAAACAATAGGAAAAAGTATTCTTATGTGGCTGCCAGTCCATGTTTGAGTGCATAAGTAGCATAAACTCAACAGACTTTGTTTCCTTTTGTTAGACTTTCTCTCAGCTTTGAATGCATGATGTACGTACGCACATGTAGTTGGATACTCGAATGGTTTATTCACAGTTTATTAAAATATGAGTATTCTGTCTTTATATACTCATTGTATTTAACCAGATATTAAGAAAATACCTGATTTAGCATCTTTAAAAAAATGTCAGATTTCAGAATTACATTAAATAGTAACAGGAAAAATAAACTGATTCAGCATTAGAATTAAAATGTTTTTAATGAATTTAAGTTCTAAAAGACTGATATAAATAAAATATGGATAAAACTGAATTATTAGCATCTGTTTAGTGACCTTCTTGTAATAAATGCAAGTTCCTAGAATTTAAACCAATAAAACATTCTTTTTACTAGTATATTCAGGTATTTAAATTTCATTGAAAGACTTACCTGATGTAGGTCAAAAGCAGAAAGATGAACAGCATTTAACATTACATGGGATTGTGCAATGGAGATGATTCTTTGTTTGTGAGAATTTTGTAACTATAAAGATGACTGGCCATTGCCATAATCAATACAAAGTATTCACTCCTAAAATTCTACTGCTTTTGTTCGAGATTTTTTTCTTGTCAGTGATGTATGTGAATAGATTA